AAATTTGCGTCCCACAAATTATGCACTGATTTTTTAAATGTTCTAATTAAAAAAAACTGTAAATGAATAAACTAAAGCGAGCATTGGATAAAATTAATCAAAAATAGGTAAGTATCTGTTTTAGTATGGCAATAGAATAGGTAACCTATTTGCCTAGTTAGAAAACTGATAACTACGTAAATACCTAGGTAGTAGGACTTACCCACATCTGTTATATGGGTAAATATTGACATTTTCTGTAAGTTTAAACTAATGAAATACATAAAATAATCATCGACTACATTGAGATGTGGATTACGAGTAGGTACCTAGTACTTTTTATTGCCGCCCATATTAGGTAAGTATTAAATGAAACACACAAACTTACCGAGGAGAGTAGATACCTAATGCTTACTTAGAACACACTCATCTCACAACTCACTCATACTTACAACCTTTTCATCTTTATTACACAAATTTCAGCAGCCGTAAAATCCTGATTCCTCATGAAATATTGTGGCACTATCAAACTATCCACTCTTGGCAGATTGTCTGACTGTCCTTTTACAAAACCTTCCATTCTAGCACTACACGTTTCACTTTAGTATAATCAGATTTAGAGGATAATATTATTTCTTTGAAATAGAAGCACAAACACTATAATAGGAATACAAAGACGATGGAAAGAAAACGAAACGAGACCCGCGTAATTTGGGCAAACCGCATCGGACCGAGCGCCGCGTTTGTGTCGCGGTCGCGGTCTGCGGGGGTGTGACGTCATAGTGTGAGTAGCGCGTCATAGTGCGTAATTTCTGAAATTCAAAAGAGAGCTTAAACTTCTCGTCGTTATAACTTCGAAAATACTGCATGTATTGAAGTGAAATAAAAACTAATGTAATGTACTTGATCTTTGCTATGATTTTAATAGTATTTGGTAGTAATATTTTGACTCTTTTGTGTTCTCCATTATTTCTTCACTGCGTCGTTTCTTATAAAAACTTGCTTGCATGTTTCCAAATTACATATCAACTTCGAAGTTGAGTCAAAATCGTAATTCATTTCTTGATTATTTGACGATGTTGAAATGAAGAAGTCACACGGTAGTCTTATGCTGCCGCCGTAGGTTAGCTGAGTGGCGCTAGGACTAGTGTATGGACGCGGTGTTGCTCGTAGTCCAAGTAGCACTGTAGGTAGCTCATCAATCCATTTTGTATGTTGAGATAAACGAGTTTTGAGTGCGGTCTTCAATGTACGATGCCATCGTTTGACTATTCCGTTTGATTGAGGGTGGTATGCTGTTGTACGTGTCTTCTGTATTCCCATAGTTTGAAGAAGCTTGAGAAAAAGGTTGCTTTCAAAGTTTCTTCCTTGATCCGTTGTGATGGCTTTAGGTGATCCGAAACGAGTAATCCAATTTTTATAAATTATCTTCGCGACGGATTCAGCTGAAGTACCATCAGTAGGTATTGCTTCTGGCCATCTTGTTGTTCTATCGATCATTGTTACGAGGTAACGATGTCCTTGCGGTGAAATAGGTAATGGTCCAACGATGTCAACGTGCAGGCGTTCGAATCTCTCCATAGGTGGAAATGAAGCTAGGCTGCTTGATGTATGCCTTTGTACTTTGCATTTTTGACATTGAATGCATTGCTTCGTCCAGTTGCCAACAGGCCACAAGAATTTTCCAGTAATGAGTTTTCTTGTTGTTCTAACACCTGGATGACTGATGTTGTGCAGTGCATTGAAGACTTCGCGACGACATTCTTCTGGTAGGTATGGTCGCACGGATGACGTTAAGGCTTCACATTAGATAGGTAGATGGGTCATTGTAACTTGCTTGATGGACAAGTTACTTTGCTTCCATAGATGTTTGATGTTGTCGCTATCTCTGTCTTGTGCTTCGGCGGTCTTGTGATAGTCGATTGATGTAGGGCACCTGACACTGTCGACTGGTATGTGACTGAGTGCATCGGCGACTATGTTGTCCTTCCCACTGATGTGACGTATGTCGGTCTTTTTTTTTTAATAGCATAAGGGTGAAAAACGAGCACACAGTCCACTAGATGGTACGTGGTTGCTGCGGCCCATAGACATCTACATCTATTCTCTATTACAAATCAAAATGCAGATACGTTTTCACCCGTGAGGACTAGGATGGAATGCCTCATTTCCTGTAAAAATGGGCCTCCGGCCACCTGCACTCACCAAGCGAAACGTAGATGTAAACCTCTACTTCACGCTGGTATTCTGTGAGGTCGTGGTACCACCCCGGTTCGAGCCGGCCCATCCGTGCGATAGCAAAAGCTGCCGCCTGGCTCTACCACTGTTAAATTGAATTCGCTTATGAAAATGAGTGTTCTTGCTCGTCGTGGTGTTTCCGATGGTGATGGTTTTTTCTGAAGTACATATGTTAATGACTTGTGGTCGGTAAAAACGATCAGGTTTTGACACTCGAACGTTTTTTGAAGTGCTTGATAGCCATGTAGATAGTAGCTCTCGGTCGAATGTACTGTAGTTACGTTGAGTATCGGAGAACGTCTTCGAAAAATAGCCAAGTGGTTGCCATTTCCCATTGTTGCGCGCCACTATTAATGTCTTGTACATGGCAACACTAGGTACACTAGCGCCCTCTAGTGTCGAGTAGCAGAACTAGGAGAGTCAAGATCCTTCCAGAAATTTCGGGACCGATATGTACTCGAACATTCTAGATGTCGCTACAGTAGAAGATTCTGGAAACTATCTGAGGCCCTATATAAGGCCGGTATAGACCACGACCGAGGCAGTATTGAATTGGCGATACAAGAGAATACTTCGAAGCGAAATAACGGCGAACTGTGTTTTATTATTAGTGTGATTTTAGATTGTAATTAGTGTTGTGTAATTAAAGTGTCAATTTTGGTAATTCAATCGGCAGTTTTTAATTGTCTCGAACCCCAAGCTCGTAACAATTGGTGTCAGAAGTGGGATCAAATATGCCGATTTTACCTAAAGACGACACCGAGGGTATCCGTACCCGAAGTCAACGCCAACAGGAAACGGACCAGAGACGATTTGGTGGTGCAACGTCACAGACGTCGGCAGGCCAGTTGCCGACCACGGAGTCCGGCCCGTCAGCAGCTCCTGCATCTGCAGCACCTGACTTAGGTACTCTGATGATGATGCTGCAGGAACAAGCTCGCCGACAGGAGGAACAGGCCCGCCGACAGGAGGAACAGGCTTGTCGGTTGGAAGAGCAGCTGCAGCGCGGACAGGAGGAACAAGCCCGCCAACAGGAGGAACAGGGCCGTCGGTTGGAAGAGCAGCTCAAACGCGATAAGGAAGAGCAGATACTTCTCATGAAGGACCTTCACGCTACCTTCGGGAAAGAAATAAGTGAGGTGAAGGATAAGGTTGCTCAATATGACAACCGCCTGTCAGATGCTGAAACCCGAATCGACCAAGTGTACAATCGGGTTGACAATGTGATGGCTGACGTGAAGAAAACGCTGAACGACCTCAAAATTGGGGATGGAGTTACAGCTTCCGTGGTAGCTACAACACCTTCGCTACGTGGATTCAAAGTGCCACCGTTCGATGGGACTTCTTCCTGGTCGGCCTACAAAATCCAGTTCGATGCTGTCATGAAAGCGAACGGCTGGAATAAAAGTCAGGCCATGACTGCTCTCACCCTAGGCCTGCGCGACCAGGCCTTAACTGTTCTGGAAGCTCTCGGTAAGGAAGTGACTTACGAGCAGCTCCTTGAGGCATTGGAGGCGAGATATGGCGACGCTCACCTGGAACACGTCTTTCGTGCGCAGCTCAAAGATCGCGTGCAACGCAGTAACGAAAACCTGCAGCAGTGGGCCCTTGAGGTAGAGAAGCTGGTTCGAAAAGCGTACCAGTCTGTACCTGCGCTCATTGTAGGGAACCTGGTGCAGACATTCATCGACGGCATCCGCGACCTTGAAGTCAGAGCTGCTGTGAGGCTCGGGCACCACGAGACGCTTAAGGACGCCTTGACCCATGCACTGGAGGTGGAAGCCGTGCGGCAGGATCATCGTTCCCACCGCGTCAGGGAGGTTACAGCAGCTACAGTTCAGGATCGCAATAAGGGCTACAGCCCTAGGTGCTACGGCTGTGGGGAAAGGGGCCATCTTCGATCCAGCTGCCCTAAACGAACTGTAGAAAGGGAAGGTGATCGATATCGAGAGGGTAGTGTGGCTGACAGCACCGCCCAGCAACAGCAGGGAAACTGGCGGGTGCTGGCTGATGTTAAAAGAGCCCCAAGGATTTCGATCTCACAAACCCATGATGGGAACAGCCTAATCATCAAGGGCGAAGTCAACGGAACGCCAAGTAAACTGACCATAGACACTGGAGCCTCTCGCACGGTTGTCAGTTCCCAACTTATAAGTCGGTTCCTTGGGGACTCCGCATACAACCGAGAACGCATTAATTTGGTGACAGCCACCGGTCAGCGCATACCCGTCCGTGGAGAGAAGGAGATGGAGTTGAAGCTAGGCAACATGATCTACCTGCATAATGTCATCGTGGCTGATATAATGGACGACTGCATACTGGGCCTAGACTTTATGAGGAAGAATTGTTGTGAGATCGACGTTTAGCAAGGTGTTTTGAAATGTGGACAAGAGGAACTTTTCGTGGAAGGGGCGTTACCAGGGAATGTGTACAGCCTTAAGAAGATTGTTCTTCCGCCGAGATCGGAAACGATTGTGCCGGTTAGACTTCCACGGAATCCTGGGCAAACTCTTCGTTGTGTACACGTGGAAAGGGTAGACAATGACCTTCCATGGAAAGTGGCTCGAACCTTGGTCAGAACCGCCGACATCTCAGGAGAACGTGTGCTGAACCTTTGTGATCAGGAACAGATTATAGAAAAAGGCACATTGGTTGGTACTAGTGAGGAAGTGGATTGGTTGCGTCGGTGCGAATATCTATCGACCGGGACCCCTAGCAAGGATGGACAAACGAGAGTGACCACACTTTTAGAAGACTGTCGCAGCGTTCTCTCCCCGAATGAAATGGTCAAGGCGAAGAAGTTGTTACTCAAGTACGCCAATGTTTTCTCGTCAAACGAAGCTGACATAGGAAAGACTGGCTTAGTTCAACACAAAATAAACACAGGACAAGAATTGCCTATTCGTCAGCGGCCAAGAAGATTGCCTGTAGCACGTGAAAAGGAAGTGGAAACCATGATTGAGGGTATGGTGAAGGATGGTGTTATTGAACCTTCATCTAGTCCATGGTGTTCACCTGTGGTGCTGGTAAAGAAGAAGGACGGCAGTATGCGGTTTTGTGTTGACTACCGCCGCCTGAACGACGTTACGAAGAAGGACAGCTATCCCTTGCCTAGAATTGATGACACGCTGGACATGCTCACAGGCGTAAAGTGGTTTAGTACGCTGGACCTGAAAAGTGGCTACTGGCAGGTTGAAATTAACCCTAAGGACAAGGAGAAAACTGCATTCTCCACAGGAAAGGGTCTGTGGCAATTTAAAGTCATGCCGTTTGGATTGTGCAATGCTCCAGCAACGTTTGAAAGATTGATGGAGCTTGTACTTATCGGGCTAATTGGAGATGCCTGTCTGGTCTATTTGGATGACATCATCATCGTAGGCCGTACGTTTGAGGAACAACTTCAAAACCTGGAACGCGTGCTCATGAAGATCCAGAGTGCCAACCTCAAGTTGAGTCCAAAGAAGTGCTCACTATTCAAACGGCAAGTTAGTTTTTTGGGGTATGTAGTGTCGGAAGAAGGTATCCGCATGGATCCAGAAAAAATTGCCGCTGTCAAGGAGTGGCCGGTTCCAAAAGACAAGACACAGGTTAGAGCATTTTTGGGTTTGTGCTCTTATTATCGGCGATTTGTGAAGAACTTTGCAGATATAGCCAAACCTCTGCACAAGCTAACCGAGGAGAAGCAACAATTCTGCTGGGATGAAAGTTGCGATATTGCATTCCAGGAGCTCAAGAACCGTCTGTGCAAAACACCTATTTTGGGGTACCCTGATGCGGGCAAGGAATTCATAGTTGACACAGACGCAAGTGATATAGGACTTGGCGGTGTGTTGTCTCAACGGAATGGTGATCAAGAGATTGTGATAGCGTACTTCAGCAAGTCGTTGTCAAAGCCGGAAAGGAACTATTGTGTCACAAGACGGGAATTGCTTGCTGTGGTAAAGTCCTTGCAGCATTTTAGCAAATATCTTCTAGGGCGGAAATTCCACTTACGAACTGACCATGCTGCACTCAAATGGCTATTGCAGTTCAAAAATCCGGAAGGACAAGTTGCGAGATGGATTGAACTACTGCAGGAATACGACTTTGTGATCGAACATCGCAGAGGGAAATCTCATGGCAATGCAGATGCATTGTCAAGAAGACCTTGCCCTGAAGATTGCAAGCATTGTACTAGGCAAGAGGGTAAGGAAGTGGTATCTGTGAGAATGCTCAGGACAGACCAGCTCAGCAATGAGTGGAAGGTCAGCCTACAACATGCACAGCAGGAAGATTCGGACATTAAGCCGATTCTGGAATGAATGAAGGCCAGTGCTCCTAAGCCCAAGTGGAGCGACGTCTCAGCAATGAGCTCGACCACGAAAAGCTATTGGGCCCAATGGGACAGCTTGCTGATTCAGGATGGAGTCCTGTGCCGTAAATGGGAGAATGGTCGGGGAGACAGATGTCATTTGCAAATGGTTGTCCCTAAGGCTAAAGTACCGGATGTTCTACAACTGTACCATAGTAGTTCTTCAGGAGGCCACCTGGGAGTTAAACGAACTCTCCTGAAGTTCCGAGAACGGTTTTACTGGGTCCACTGTCGTGACGATGTCGAGGACTGGTGCCGCAAATGTACAAGTTGTGCGGCTGTAAAGGGACCTCAAATTCGTAGTAGAGGCGCATTGAAATTGTACAATGTTGGTGCACCATGGGAGAGGATAGCCATTGACGTTGCGGGGCCGTTTCCGGAAAGTGAAAGTGGTAACAAGTATTTCATGGTTGTGATGGATTACTTCACTAAGTGGCCAGAAGTCTTCGCCATTCCAAATCAAGAAGCTTCAACAGTTGCAGATAAACTAGTTCATGAAGTCTTCTGTCGTTTTGGAGTACCCTTAGAGATTCACAGCGATCAAGGAAGGAATTTCGAGTCTCAAATATTCCAGGAAACTTGCCGAGTTATGGGTACTCATAAAACACGAACAACTTCTTACCACCCACAATCTGATGGAATGGTAGAACGATTTAATCAGACATTGGAAAGGTACCTGGCAAAAGTTGTGGAAAAACGGCAACGAGACTGGGACAGGCACATACAACCGTTTTTGTTGTCATATCGAAGCGCTGTTCACGAAAGTACATCATTGACGCCAGCTTTCGCAAACTTTGGGAGAGAATTACGGCTGCCTGCAGACCTGATCACCGGAATACCACCAGATGCCCCAGTATAACCGATTATGCAAATGACTTGCGGAACAAAATGAATGACATTTATGAGCACGTCAGACAGACGGGCCAGCAAACGTCTGAGAAGATGAAAACACGGTATGACCGCAAAATAAACAACAAGGGGTTTGATGAAGGTTCTCTAGTGTGGTTACACAATCCAGTTCGCAGCAAAGGGAAATCTCCTAAGCTTCAAGCTAAATGGGACGGACCGTACCGGATTGTGACAAGGATCAATGACGTAACCTACCGGATACAGAAAGGTGCCAGAGGCACTCCTAAGATTGTCCATGTAGATCGACTGGCGCGTTATTATGGGGCCAATAATGCTCGGGACGAGCATGTCTTAGGAGGGGGCAGTGTTGCGCGCCACTATTAATGTCTTGTACATGGCAACACTAGTTACACTAGCGCCCCCTAGTGTCGAGTAAATGAAAGTATTGCGTGCCACTATTAATGTCTTGTACATGGCAACACTAGGTACACTAGCACCCTCTAGTGTCGAGTAGCAGAACTAGGAGAGTCAAGATCCTTCCAGAAATTTCGGGACCGATATGTACTCGAACATTCTAGATGTCGCTACAGTAGAAGATTCTGGAAACTATCTGAGGCCCTATATAAGGCAGGTATAGACCACGACCGAGGCAGTATTGAATTGGCGATACAAGAGAATACTTCGAAGCGAAATAACGGCGAACTGTGTTTTATTATTAGTGTGATTTTAGATTGTAATTAGTGTTGTGTAATTAAAGTGTCAATTTTGGTAATTCAATCGGCAGTTTTTAATTGTCTCGAACCCCAAGCTCGTAACACCATTAATGTGTTGTTGGAGTACAGCTCCTGCTGAGAGATCGGACGCGTCGTTGAAGATAGCAAGGGTTGCTTCGTGTGATGGGTGAGCAAGCAAAGCTGCATTTTGGATCGCAACTTTACAAGCTTCAAATCCCTTCGTGGCGTCATCGATCCATCCTATTGACGTTTTATCTTTTTTCTTCGTGTTGTGAAGGTAGGCGTGAAGTGGTGCTTGGATTTCAGTGGCTTTAGGTATGTGCTCTCTGTAGAAATTTATCATCTCAAGAAATCTCCTTAGTTCTTCGATTGTTTTAGGTTTCGCATAATCGACGATTGCTCTGACTTTTTCAGTAGGTGGTTTGATTCCTTCCTTGCTGACGGTGAAACCAAAAAATTTTACTTCTTATTGTCCTAATATGCATTTCAAAGGGTTGATTGTGATTCCATTGTCTTCTAATCGCTGTAGCACGGTGCGTAGATGAGTTTCGTGCAAAACTAAAAAATGAAAGCGTTTTATGTGGTTTGATTATGTTTGATTTTAGTTACATAATAAGAATTATTTTTAGTATAGTGAGAGTGTGCGTAATATATAAAACTCGTTACCAAAAGGAAAGTGGGATAACATTCCACAAGTAAGTTAATTTACTTAGGCTTAGTAACCCATGGTAAACGTAGGGCGATTCTGACTTTGGCGGGGCTACACACTTGGTGCTGGGAGAATCTGTTGTACAGATAGAGTTGAAGACCGCGAACGGCTGTGCCTTGTATTCCTGGTGTGCCTTATCTGAGAAGGAAATGGGGAGGAGAAGACCTCAACTAAGGAGGGACTGCTAATGACGGCTGAATCAACTGAATCAACTAAGGACGGCTGCGATGGTGGGGTCGCGGATGTGTTTGAAAGTGTTTCCGTGGTTCTGCCAATGTGTGGCGAAGGTGGAACACCATGGGGTTTTAATAGGTGTGAGTCCGACAAGATCCGTTCTGGACACCGCGAAGCATAGCGTAGCGTAGGCATTTCTTCATTAGAAACTCGGAACGAAATCCGTTCTGTAGTTAAGAATAAAAACGTAGATAGATCGCAGCGTCGATCTTGGTTTTATATGAGGTATAAACTTGCGTCTAAGGCCTAGGTATTAATTGATACATTTATTTATTGTATGGCATTATATTAATATGATTCATAAATAGAATGGACTTTACGGGTAGGCCTGGGTATAGAATTTTTATTGATATTGTTACGTGCTTGGGGTTCGAGACAATTAAAAACTGCCGAGTGAATTACCAAAATTGACACTTTAATTACACAACACTAATTACAACTTAAAATCACACTAATAATAAAACACAGTTCGCCGTTATTTCACTTCGAAGTATTCTCTTGTATCGCCAATTCAATACTGACTCAGTATCGTGGTCTATACCGGCCTTATATAGGGCCTCAGATAGTTTCCAGAACCTTCTACTGTAGCGACATCTAGAATGTTCGAGTACATACCGGTCTCGAAATTTCTAGAAGGATCTTGACTCTCCTAGTTCTGCTACTCGACACTAGAGGGCGCTAGTGGTGACTAGTGTTGCCATGTACAAGACATTAATAGTGGCGCACAACAATATGATTTGTCTCACTGTCTTATGTCTATTATTAGATCCTTGGACGTTCACTTCTGCTGTCAGCGCCAAAATGGCGAAAATCAAATCGCCTCATTATGTCCCGGTGTATAGCCAGTCCATTTAGAGGTCAGTGATTAGCGCACAGACGACCGTCTTCCATATTAAAAAAAATGGCCAATAGCGAGTCTCAAGAACTGAAAGTAACATTTAGTTTTTTAAATTAATATAAGGCAAAGGCATATATTTGATTCAGCTAAAATTCCGTAGCAGAAGAAGGATCCTCTTAGATCTTTGAAAATATTAGCTTTATTACTGTGAACTACTAATTTGATCGATTTTGATAACATTTGCATATTTTACAGACAAATTGTGCTACCACCGTCTCTTTATTAATATATATTTTCATCACGATTTCGCTGTGAGGTGATAATTTAAGATAATTCATTTTCTACCGACATCAAAAAGAAGACAGTACTCAATTCGAGTATATGTTTTATTTTATGTGTGTTACCTCATAACTTTTTACTGGTTGGACCGATTTAGATGATTCTTTTTTTATTTGAAAGCTGGTGCTTTACATGTATTATATATTGAGGTCATTGAGCATAGTGCTTAGGTCCTCCAGCGATTCTGCCATAAGGACTATATCGTCGGCAAATCGAAGGTGGGTGATGTACTCGCCATTGATATTACTACCGTATCTGTCCAGTCCAAAAGCTTGAAAACGTATTCCAATGCAGCGGTGAAGAGTTTCGGGGATATAACGTCACCCTGTCTTACACCTCTCTGCAATTGAATAGGTTTCGTACTCTGGTTCTTTACTCGGATAGCCATCGTAGCCTTACTATACAAGCACTTCAGCACTTCGATATACCGACAGTCAAATTGGCACCGCTGAAGGGACTGCAGCACCGCCCAAATTTCGATGGAATCAAAGGCTTTCTCATAGTCCACATACGCCAGACATAGTGGCAAATTGTACTCCTCGGATTTTTGTACAATTTTCCGAAGCGTATGTATGTGGTCTATGGTGCTAAAGCCTTTTCGGAAACCGGCTTGTTCAGGAGGCTGGAAGTCATCAAGTCTGCGCGCGGGACGATTCGTAATGACTCTCGAAAACAGCACGTAGACGCGGCTCAGAAGGAAAATCGGTCTGTAGTTCTTCAAGATAGCGTAGTCACCTTTCTTGAAGAACAAGACCACCGCACTTCTGCTCCACGCCTCCGGTGTAATGCCACCATGAAGGACGGAATTAAAGAGCTTCTGAAGGACTTCAAGTACCGGTTTTCCACCCGCTTTCAGAAGCTCCGCTGTAATTCCATCCCCGCCTGGTGCCTTGCCATTTTTAAGGTCCTGGAGAACCATTCTAATCTCGCTCAGACCGACGTCCGGGATATCTTCGGAATAGTGTAGGATAAGACTCGCTCTTGGATCGTTACTCACACTTGCGTGTGGCTCCAACGATGACGTGTACAACTGCCCATTGAACCTCTCAATCTCACTCAAAATCTCAGGTGTCCGGGAACGACGCTGCCACATTCGGTCTTCAGCTTCGACAGTTGGCTGTTTCTGGCAGACAGATCTCTAGCAAAGACTTTGGAGCCCTGGTTCCGCTCGATCGCTTCTTTAATACGAGCAGTATTAAAGTTGCGTAAGTCCCGCCGCATGCATTTGGGGATCTGTCTGTTCAGTT